CGGGAGAGACACTGGCGGTGCCCGGCCCCCGGCTGAGAGGTGGCAGCGCTGCTCTCCCAAGTTCTGCCTAGCAGAGGCTCTGCCAAGACAGACGCCTCCAGGGCTTGGTGTGGCCTTGGCCAGGTGCAGGGCGGGTTGTTGAACTTGCCTCTCTGGCGCTCCGAGTTGTGGCTTGTGCAATTCCGCTGCTGGTGGGGGTGGGGGGGTGATGCTGGGGATTTTCTCTTCCAGTTGGTGAAGAATTGATACACGTGCTGGTGGCAAATTGGCTGCGCCACTGTGATAGGGATGCGAACGTGCACATGGTGAACCCATGAGCCTGGGCTCCTTGGTCAACATGCAGGGTTACAAGTTTACCTAAATAAACACACTTTAACATCCCTAGTAGGTGATTGGCACCAAATACAACAAAGAGGTAGTCACTTCCTACCTGCCAGGGTGGTTAAACACTGGAATAAATTGTCTAGGGAGGTTATGGAATCTCCATCACGATATCAAGTATCAGAGGGGTGGCGGTGTTAGTCTGAATCAAAAGCGGCGAGGAGTCCTGTGGCACCTTATTGACTAACCGAAGTGTTGGAGCATAAGCTTGTGTGGGCAAAGACCCACTTCCTCAGATGTATGTCACATGCATCTGACAAAGTGGGTCTTTGCCCATGAAAGCTTATGCTCCAACATTTCGGTTAGTTTATAAGGTGCCACAGGACTCCTCGCCGCTTTTCCATCATGATGAGACAGTGCTTGGCCCTGCCTTGAGAGCAGGGGACTGGACTTGATGATCTCTCAAAGACCTTTCCAGTTCTAGTGTTGTCTGATTCTGTGATTGGTTGTGATGATAAGAGATGGGTGAATGGCAGCCTGGCAGCTCAGGCAGACTTGGAAGCAAAGGGAAAAAGGTGGCTGATCCAAAAATGTGCTAATTCAGGAGGTCGGTCATACTGGAGTCTTGCCCACATATGCAGAGGTTGCAGCTCTCCACACGTTTTGAATCCAGGAAGAATTGCAACCAATTAATTGGTCTTTACAGCTCAGATCAGAAGAGGCAGCTTCTGTTTATCTTTAACTCTAGTTGGCCTGCCTAAGAGATGACTAATATCAGCACATGATATTGAAATCAAAGCAACATGTGAGGGTGGCACCAAATGAAAAAAAAAGTATACTAGCTGGATGCATCTGACCAGCTGTGTGTTTAACCCTTAACTAGTTGGTGTGGCACTCTGTTCCTTTCTAGTGTCACCAAGACCAGCTAGAGATCGATAAATGTTACAAAGGCCGAGTCAGCGCTGTTACTTGATAGTAGGGATGTGAATGTTTAATTGGTGGGGGCAGGAGTAGCTCCACACCTGCCATGGGGGGGTGGGAGAGGCTGCTCTCTGCTCTAGTGTCAAGGGGGCTACTTCAACCTGGCCAGTGCAACCCTGCCTGCAGCGGAAGGGGGGAGAGAGAAGAGCGTTCCAGCCAGTCTGGAGTGCTCCTCCTGTCCCCCCCCCAATAGGTTAACCAGTTAAACAATGTGTTTAAAAGGTTAACTGGTTAAACAATGTGTTTAAATGGTTAACCAATTAAATGGGATTTTACATCCCTACTTTATAGCGCTGAAATGTTTTGACTCGGGTTTGGGAACCCCCTCCCCCACCAAGCTCAGCAAGTTACAGTGCTGTAAAGCACCACCAGTGTGAACCAGACTACAGCATTGGGCGCTGCACTCCCAGCACCATTAGCACAGGGAGAGCGCTCTCCTGGAGCTTATGATGAGATCACATTTCCAGTTTAAACTGCTCCTGCAGCAGTACTGTAAATTTAAGTCTAGGGAAAACCTTAGTTAGGTAAGAGCCACATGGCTGTTAGCTCTGGCAAGAGAGACTCATACATTAAGAAATTAAACAACAACAAATAGTCTGGTAGCACTTTAAAGACTAACAAAACATGTACATCCTGTCTCTGACTTACGAACCGGTTACGGACCAAGCAATTGGTCGTGACTCAGTTCGTTCATAAGTTAGACCCTATTGAGTTACACGCGACTGCACTGTTCATAAGCGCGGATCGTGTTCGTAACTCGGGGTCCGCCATTTACGACAGCTTTGGTCGTAACTGCGAACAGTTGTAAGTCAACGGTTCGCAACTCGGGGACCAGCTGTACTGTCAAGATTCAGTCCTGCCCATAGATAACCAGATTCTGAAGTCAGCTGAATTCTGCCAATTACTTAGTCAGCTCCATCCTAAACTTTCTGTATATGACAGGCAGCTTTCTCCTACATGATGGAGCAAGCTCCAGTCTGTATGTTCACTAGCACCATATTTTGCCCTTCTATTTCCTTTGTTGTTTCCTCCACTTTAGTATTACCTGTTCTGGAGGGGAAACAGATGTAGTGTCATTTTCCTCTCTGTCTAACTTCCTGTTTGGGAAAGTGAAACTGATCTGTGTGGCTTTTGTTCTTTGTAAAGTTTTCAGATGAAAGTGGTTATTTTGAATATGTCTGTTGGCCAACTTTTATCCTGTTACTTTGTAGATTTTGAAAAAGACTGTAAGTACAGAACAAAATCATTGCTTCTATAGATGTATTAATTTGAAATGCTCCATTGTGGCAAGGACAGATATGTTTTGTATCCTGCTCCTCTTCTGTGTACAGTAATTACTCATTTAACACGTGCCTGCTTAACACGTTTCTGCAATAGCACTTTTTTTAGGGAACGTTTTTTGAATAACACGACCATCCCTGAAATAACACAAAAATAATCAAGTGGCAGACTACTTTGTGCGGTGGTATAAGTTGGTGAAAACCGTGGTAATACGCGTGAGCGGATAAATACATGTGGTCACAGCGCTCCTCCACTCACTCACGTATTTATCTTTGCGTTTTAACAAACCATGGTGACTTATGTTTATATGTGTTGTAATAAACATTTTTTATGAGAATGAGTCTGATCATGAACGGAGCTCAAAAGTAGTGAAAAAGCTTAGAAAGCGCCATATCTTGCTACAAACAACTTTGCAATGAAAAACAAAAAGCAGCAAGGCAGCTCTTTATAAACAATGAAAAACAAAAAGCAGCAAAGCAGCTCTTTATAAAGTTTTTTTCGTGTTCAACCAAAAAAAATCAGTTGATGAACAAGATAGCCCTGTTCCAGCTACATCATCTAATGTTGACGTTGACGACCCAGCACCAACAAAAAATTGACTTGGTTGCCACCGTCACCACCTGAAACGCAACCCCCACCTTTTTCCATTATTTTTAATGGGAAAATTGAACCCGCATAGCACGTTTTCGCTTAGCACGAATGTTTTCAGATAAGCATCTATCGTGTTAAATGAGGAATTACTGCAATTGTGCTTTGTCTGATGGACTATCAATATTGGTTCTGCAGACTTCTTTAAAAGGTTAAACATATCAGACTAGCTCTGAATAAGGTGTATCTAGATAATAAACACTTTGGAAAGGCTGTGGGTCATGTTTTTAGTGTATTAAACAGATTAATGTTAGTGGTTAAAAGTCCTTTATAAAAAGTATTTCTGAAAAAATGGGCTTGTGCCTTTATTTCTTGTTTTGAGTTATGAAGAATGCTGAAAGTATGTTGGGTGGTTGGGTTTTTTTGTTTTTGTTTTTTCTTTTTTTATAAATTGAAGTATTTTGTGTTTTTTGTCTTATTATCTGCAGTGTTGTTTAAGACAATCCCAGTTGTGTGTGGGGTCCCCCCATGAGACCTTTTCGGTGGTTTCTGATGTATTGTGTACTCGCACATTATTTGAAAGAGAGAGATCTAGAATATTTAGTAAGGCTTACATTCTCCTTGAGAACAAAATGAAGTACGTGTTGACAAACATTTTGAATTCTGACTGAAAATCTTTCCCCTCTCACTTATTTACTTTCATTCTTTAAATTATTGTGATACTGTCACTTCCCTAGTTCTTCAGATTCTGACTGAAAATCTTTCCCCTCTCAATTATTTACTTTCTTTAAATTCTTTAAATTATTGTGACACTGTCACTTCCCTAGTTCTTCAATTCTCTGTCTTCCAGATTTAATTACCTGGATTTTCAGCCTTTATTTTTAAAGGGAGGGCAAAAATGTACTGCTTCCCGAAATACTTAAAAACCTATGCCATCTTTTAGGTTTTTACTCCCACTGAGATATTTGTCTTTTTTTATCTGAAGTATCTAATGTATTCCAATATACTCCATTGTTTGAGAGAGGCTATTAGTCTTGAATAGCCATTGACTTAAAAGAACTGATACTAACTATTGTGATGTATGATTGTTCTCTATAAATACATCAGAGGGATAAATACCAGTGGAGGAGAGGAGTTAAAGTAAAGTCACCAATGTGGACTCAAGAATAATTGAATGTAAACTGGCCATCGATAAGTTTGGGTTTGAAATTAGGCAAAGGTTTCCAACTATTGAAGGAATGAAATTCTGGGATAGCTTCCCAAGGAGAGTAGCGGTTAATCTGACAGAAATGCATGTGTGCGGTTTTATGACCTGCAATGTGCATAATGTCAGACTAGATTATAATGATGGTCCATTTTGCTCTTAAAGTTTGAGTCTTTGAGATGAACTGCCATAGCATTCAAGTGAAGATGCTCCTGTGTTGATAGGAGAGACTTCTCCAGTCTACTACCAGGTGGAACAGATTGTTTAGCATTAGTAGTTAATACATTTCAAGGGACCATTCAAGGTGAAGTGACCTGTTAACTCCAAGTCATAGGAAGGAAAGGAAGGGATGTGGGGGCTAGGGATGTGAAAGACTAGTTGACTATCCGATAAGCAAATGCTTATTGGTTAGTCAACAAGCTTGTCAACTAGTTGCCCCCCTCCCCTTACTTCCCCGCTGCCTCTATCAGAAAGAGGCAGCAAGGGGGGGGGGGGAAGGGGTACTTCAAAGCGGCAGTGCTGCATAGAGCCTGGGGCCAGATGGGCTCCAGCCAGTGCTGCCGCTTTGAAACATTGTGGGGAGCCTGACTAGATTATTACAAGTCATAAATCCAGTGTTTGAATCCATTGTTTTTAGTGTCTAGCAACATTATTAATATAAGCTCCCTGGCCTTTTTTTGAAAGTGCACTGTTTCCTTTGAGGATTAAGACTGATGGGTCAGAGATAGTGAAGTGTTCAGACATGTGATGTAGTGTGTGTTTTCTCATATCAGTTTCCTGTGTGAGAGCATTTGAAAGCTTAGTTGTCCAATTTCACCCGTATAGTTGCTACTGGGGCATCTAGTGCATTGGATGAGGAGTATCACATGTGGTAGGTATGTGTACGACCCCAGGACTTCAAAAGGTGTGTTGTGTGGGGTATTAGGGCTCTGCAGCATTCCAAGTGATTCTTCGTAGTGTAGCTGTTCTAGTTCATGCTGGACTCAACAGGAGTAAATTGAGTGTATAGAGAAGGGGGGAGCAGAACTGTAAAGGTTGTGAATGAGGACAAGAAGTTTGAAGTTGATGTTTTGGAAGAGTGGGGTCAGTGGAGGGATTCAAATAGGCAGGGCTCGACAAATGGAAGAGTGGGGTCAGTGGAGGGATTCAAATAGGCAGGGCTCAACAAATAGTGTCATCTACTCGCCCAGTTACACCCCGGAAGAGCCGGCGAGCCCTGCAAATAGGGACATGATTTGATTATTGGGTACTGAAGAGCGAAAGCAGTGTGTTTAGAAAAGAGGAGGTTTCAGTTGTTCTAAGTCAGGGATGTTTTAAAAACTGTATATATTAGGGATGTGAAAGATTAACCGGCCAACTGGTTAGAGCTACTGCAGGCAGTGACTGGGCTGAGCGGAACAACTCCTGTCCATGGCAGGCCTAGCTTGACCACCTTCCCCTTCCCCTCTGCAGCAGGTTACGTGCTGACTCCCCAGGAGCAGAGCCCATAGTGAAACCTCCCGAGGAGTGGGGCCAGCAGAGGCTGCTGACCTCACTCCCACAGAGGTGGCTTCGCTGCGGCGTCAAGCCTCTTCCCTAAGAATGGGGCCTGCAGCTCTTGCCAGCTCCACTTGCAGGGAAGCAGCTTCATTGCAGCAGCGAAGCTGCCACCACCCTGGAAGCTGGGCCGGCAGCTTCTCTGGGGCAGGGGCTGGCAGCTCCGCTCCTCTGGAGGCTTTGCTGCGGGCTCTGGGGTATAAAGCTTAGATGATTGTCCACAGCACGTGTAACCACTGGGTTTTTCAGCAGTTGTCCGATGACCTATTTAACCAACTTTTTACATCTCTAGTATGTATATCCATAACTTGATCAACAAGACTGGTTGTTTGAGATTTTCAGAATTGAATGGGGGGTGGGGTTTAGCCATAAAGGTTCAATTGAAATTAATGGAAATAGTTGGGTAAATCCCCTCAATTAGCTTTGAAAAAGCGGTCTTAAAAATAACTACTTACTTTAGTTTCTTATATCATTTGGAGTGGAAAAAGGAATTCTGTCGTCTACTACTTGTTTTTTCAAGGCTTTATGCTGGACCACAGAACATCATTGGAATTTAGTTTTGACACTTAAAAAATTTCTGAACAAATGGGTAAAATTACAGGATTTCAGTTTTATCTTATGGCAGTAGTGATATAATGAAAACTGTATATTTAGCCTATAATACTTCTGTTTCCTTTTTAGGAACCAGTCTATTACAGATTTCTTCAAACCAGCTCCAAAACAAGGTAAGTTAATTATTTTTATGAATGGTTTTTCATACATGAGTTTTCCTTAATTATACAAGTGCAGAAATCTAACCACTTATTTCCAGTTGTGAAACTTGTAATCTACAAAAGACTGTTGCTGCACAATCAGATGTGTAATAAATGTTCCCGATCAAATAGGTCTGCTGTAAATATGACCTACACATCTTCTGGGAGTGGTGTGCTGTCCCATCTAGTAGCACTGAGACTGCTTATAGAGAGAACGAGTCTGCTGTATAACCTTAGTTAATAGCCAGCTGGCTTTTAGCTCATGCAGTAGAGGCTCATGCACAAGCTCCCAAGGTGTTAGGTTTGATTTCGCCTGTTGGTGTTGCATAACCCTGCATAAATTCTAGTAGAATGATAATGGCAAGCTACAGATTTCTTTGCCATTGATGCTAATTGAGCTAGAACCGCAATGGGCAACCTAGGCTAGCAAGTGGAGCCGCAGGCCACAAGATTGTCGTAACCAAGACGATGTGCCAGGATAGGGTAGCTTTTCTATCTGCGCTTGCATACCTAGAATTTACAAGGTGTACCTATTAAACTGTAGCAGCACTTTGATTGGATGCAGAAATAGTTCATAGCGCTCTCAGTCAATGTTGTGTGCAATCAGCACGCCTCTCTTCCCATGCCCTTGCTGGTGCTAATGAGGCTAATTGAGCGGGTTATTCTTACGTACATGCCTCTAGTTTTCATCCAGGACACACCACACGATCTGTTGTTTACAGCCAGGACCTAAGATACAACTGTATTTGCTCCAGTCCCACAGAGACAAATACCTACAAGATCTTTATCAGGCATTCTTAAAACTTAAATACCCATCTGAGGAAGTAACAAAACATATTGACAGAGCCAGACGAGTACCCAGAATTCTTCTACTTCAAGACAGGCCCAACAAGGAAAATAACAGAACACCTCTAGTCATCATGTAAAGCCCCCAGCTCAAACGCCTATTGTGCATCACTGACAGTCTACAATTTATCCTGGAAAACGATCCCTCACTCTCACAGGCCTTGGGAAACAGGCCAGTCCTTGTCTAAAGACAAACCCTAGCCTGAAGCAAATTCTTTCTGGCAGCTGCACATCACTCCTCAGACACACTCACCCAAGAACGTACCTCTGTAATAAACCCAGTTGGCCAACTCTGTCCACACATCTATACTAGCGACACCATCACAGGACCTAACCACATAATCCGCCACATCAGAGGTTCATACGACTGCACATCCTCTAACATGATATATGCCACCAGTGCCCCTCTGCTATGTATATTGGTCAAACTGAACAGTCTCTACAACAAAGGATTAATAGACACAAAACAGCTATTGGAAATGGTAACACATCTAAACCTGTAAGGGAACATTTTAACTTGCCTGGGCAAGTTAATCGTGAATGGATTTAAAAGTAGACATTTTTCTACAAAGGAATTTCACAATCCAACTAGAGAGAGAGAGCGGGAGTGCAGAATCAATTTTCATATGCAAATTTGACACCATTTCCCTTGGCCCGAACAAAGATTTGAACTGGTTAATATATTATAAAATTAGCTTGCCTTACATTCAGCTCTCTATTGACATCAAAAGCTAAGCATGGTTCACTTCCAGCTCCCTCAAGTAGCCTCATTAGCCCCGGGACTACAATTGACAGGTAACTTTTTTTTTCTTTCTCTCCCTTCTTATTCTGAGGGTCTCCCTTTTTTTTCCCCTCCATGCAAGATCCCTTCTTATTCTGAGGGTCCCCCCTTTTTTTTCCCCCTCCATGCAAGATTATCTTATTAGAAGAAGTGGACTTTGCCCACTAAAGCTTATGATACTATATGTAAAATTTTATTAGTCTATAAGGTGCCACAGGACTACTTGTTTTTAATCCAAATTATTTTTTTAACTTGGGTTAACAGCTTGAGTTCAACCCTGTGCTTCCCCCAGCACCGGCTCCTGTTCTCCTTCCTTTGCTGACTCTCTGATGGAGGCAGCAGGGGGAGGAGGGGAAGCGACTAGTTGAGTCACTACTTGACTATCCAATAAGCTTATGGAGCTTCAGGGGGTAGCTGAGTTAGTCTGTTACCAAAAAAAAACTCCACCAGCTGTTCAAAGATAACCATAGAAGGATTGGCTACAGGAGGGGTTTTTATTATTGCTGTATTGGTTTTATTTGTTTTGTATTATTGCTGTATTGGTTTTATTTGTTCTTTTTTTTTGCATGCTGCGCTGTCTAAGACGAATCAGAGACAGTGATTTAATATAATCAAATTGTAGTTAATAAAGTTTGCAATTGGTTAAGTGCATTTAAGTCTCAGGCTTTCCTCCTTCACAGCCCCAGTCCCTTGCCACAAAAAGCCACCACTAGACAATCTTTGAACCACTGGTTCATCAGATACCACTCAGAAAGTTACAAAAAAAACCCAACAAATGGTCTGGTAGCAGTATCATGAGCTTTTGTGGGCACAGCCCACTTCTTCAGATGACTGGAGTATGAGTAGGGGATATGAAAACTCGAAATAAATAGGAGAGGGGGGAGAAAAAGAAAAAGGAAAAAAGGAAGGGGGGTGTGAGACAGCATCATTAAGTATCTGAAGAATGGGTGCTTAAACCTAAGCAGGTCAAAGTAAATAGATGCTGAGACAGGAAGGAAACTACTCACAGAGTTGTTAACACCTTAAGTGGTTATGAAGTAGATAATGTCCTAGCCAACCCATACCCTGATTAAGTCCGTTAGCACGTGAATTGAATTTATGTATGAAATGTGATTCGAATGCTTCCCTGTGGATCTGGCTTGTAGAGCTGGCCTGTGACAAGACCGCCACTTGCAGGTCTGTTAGACTATAGTTAGGTAAGCAGAAATGTTCATCAGATTTTTGTGTGTTCCCTTTACGTATATCCAAGTTCTTAGCACCTTCAGTGATAGTCCCCACCAATTTAAATCACGATTGAGTCATATTTGTGTCAAATCTCACCTTCAGTGATAGTCCCCACCAATTTAAGTCATATTCTGTGTCAAATCTTTTTTTTTGTAATAGAGGGTTACTAATTTATAATTTTTTTATATTTTGTATCTATTTAAATTGGCTATATAGACAGAATCTTGTTGTGTTCTCCGGACAAAAGAAATGTAAAAAACGGAGTTGCTGGACTGTCAGTCACATGTACAGAACAATTTGAAAAGAAAATATCTTCTGAGAAGAAAACTAGAAGGGAAACATTTCCAGTCCAACCAGCAAACAGGAGTCCTGTAATAGATGGCTTATTGAGAGGAACGAATAGAGAGAAAAAGGACAGTCCAAACGTTTTAGAAAACAACAGAGCATGCATGGTGCCAAGCACAAAGTATCCGAAGGTTGTGGTTCGAAAACTCCTTATGTCTGCATGCTCTCCAAACTATTCTTTGACAAAAAAAGATAAGACTAGTATGAGAGAACCTGGGAGGAATGAGAAGTGTCCAACTAAAACAAGAACATCGTTGTTTTATGAAAATGGTAGGGAACAGCAGATTGAACGTATGGATTTAGAGGAAGCCAATTCAAACCCCTGCAAACGGGTTTCTACATCAGAAGCAGATACCTTAAACTATGCCAGAAATAATGACAATGTGAACAATAAACCTTTGTGCCAAAAACCAGGACATTCCACAAAGCTCCAGCACAGCTCTGAGTCACAGTTCTGGTTACCACTGGATACTTACTGCAGAGAAGGAGAGCAGAAGAGACAAAGAATGGAACAACCTAAACTGCAGCCCTTCAGCCCAGTAAAGGCATTCTCAAGATCAGGTGTATTAAACCAGGTATGTCTGCAAGTGTCAGTAAGGGCCAAACCTCTGACCAATATTTCAGGTGAATGTGATTACATAAAGAATATAATGCATAGTGCTGTCTTTTGCCCTTCCCTGTGTCATTTGTACGTAAAACATTGATAAACTTTATCTTTTTTAAGTTAATCAGAAATAACAAGCTTAAAAGCTGCCTTCTCAAAACAGAAGACTACCTAACTCTGGTATAAGTTTACTCTAATACACCAAATCTTGAGAACCCATCTGATAATTCATAATCTCAAATCATAAGCATTGAGCAATAGGCAGAGATATTAGCTGTCCTCTCAGGAGCAGTGATCTGCTTTCATTGTCTAGTTTCTAGACAAACACAGTGCTTTGATTGAAATTGTAGTCCCCTTCTAATTCATTGTTAACCTTAAATGCAAAGGCAAATGTGCTAGTTTCCAGCATCGGTACAAGTGTGCAAAACTACTATCAAGTATATTGATGTAACTAGCATTTATTAAAAAAAAGCTTGTGTTTTGACAAGATAATTTCAGGTGAAACAATGATTCTCTCTTTCTGTTTGTCACTTTTAGGCATTTACTGCGTTACAATTAAGGCAGCAGTTCTTAAGCTCTGGGTCGGAACTCCAAAGTGGTCATGACCTTGTTTTAATAGGGGTGCCAGAGCAGGAGTTAGACTTGCTCAGGGCTTTGGCTTCAATCCTGAGAAGTGGGGCTCAGGTTACAGGCCTTGGGTATCCCTGCCTTTCTTTCTGGGGTTGTATAATAATTTGCTGTCAGAAGAGGTTTGTGGTCTGTGGCAGTGGTCCAATGAAGTTTGAGAACCCCTGAGTTAAGGCGTAGCACTCTTTTAGATGTGAACCTTACAGCCAAGAGAAACAAAAAGTAGTTTTAAAAAAAGTGGAAATGGTACTGGTATTTTTTCTAAATTGAATTTGGTATTTATTTCACGTAGTTTTAAAAAAAGTGGAAATGGTACTGGTATTTTTTTCTAAATGGGTGAAATAAATACCAAATTCAATCTGGCAAGTCCTATTTAAAAACAATGCTTAAACAAGTAACTTTTTTTTCATCTTAACAATAGGGCAATGGATGTCTCGTAAGAAAAAGATCAAGCTCTACTTCATGGGAGACCACTTCAGGTAGAAACAGTGCTAATGATGTAGAATTAGTTGGAGCAAACAGGTTACCTCATTTTAATTATTGTAATTGACTAATGGCTAGATTCCTTTTGAATTTAGAATATTCCTTGTTTGTGCATGAAGCTGATGAGGACTCCTACTTTCAGAGAAGCTCATCAGTAGCTAAGAAGCTAAATCTGAAATTGTACCACATATATTCTTAGTTTTTTAAATGTCAATTAAACAAATCTAACTGTTACAGCATGGTTGTGATGGTTTGGCTAGTCGTGGTAAAGTTGAAAAATGACTGGGAGCTGCTGAAAATATTAAAATACAGTATATAACTAAGTGGTGCTGTGGCCATGTCTGTCCCAGGATATTAGCGAGACAAGGGCTCCTTGTAAACTCAAAAGTTTGTGAGTCTGATGAACAGAGAAGGAGCTCTGCTTCATGGTGGTGGCAGAAAGCAAGAGTGCTCTGGGAATGGGGCGCTTTGCTCCCTGCTGCTGCAGCGATGCACCTGACAAAGTTGGTCTTTGCCCATGAAAGCTCATGTCCAACTAAATCTGTTAGTCTTTAAGGTGCCACTGGACTCCTTGTTGTTTAACCTGAATACTGTGGACTAAGTGAGAAAATTGCTGTTTGTGCTCAAACAGTGTCGTTCGTGTTGTTAGTGAGGAACTAACAGTTGTCTTATTTCTCTATTAAAAAATACTGTTGTCACACAGTGTTAAGTGATTCATATTTGTTATAATGTCAGTTTAAGTTTTTTCAAACTTTTTTCACAGATGATTCATCTCAATCAAAGCAGGTTTCTCCTCCAGTTCTATCAAGATGGTCAACTGAAAAGGCTGTTAATATATGGAAAAAACAGTCCTTCTGCCTTAGCTCAATTTCTTCAGGCCTGTCCAAACAAAAAGACTTTCCTGGAAAGAGAAAAAGGATATCTGTGAACATGGATTTGAAAAATTCAGGAAAACCTGTGGTACAAACTTTGAATGAATCTCATTTCAGCAGGTCACCTGAAAAATGCAAAAATAGAAAGTCTAAATCAATAAAAGACATTGTATTAGAGACTCTGGGTAGTGGTGCTCTGCAACTGGAGAATGCTGCTATGTCACACGTAGAAGACGTTCCTTTTTCAAAGGAATGTTTTGACATAAGCCACGAAAAAGATACTTCCTCATATGTGGCTTTATCACCTTTATATTCTGGAAACCGTGCTAATAAAAATGACCAAATCTGTGGTGCAGATACCAAAGATCAGTTACAAGAATCTGGCTCACATTTCCTCTTAGAAAAATCGCCGTTTTTTTCTCAGGAAAAAGCTACTATAAAGACTGATCTCCACGAATTAACTAAATCTCAGTCAAACACTGTGTGTAAAGAAGAAACAATTAAATGCCCACATTCTTCTTCCCATATTCAAAGTGCTGGTTCATCTCTGGTATTAGAAACTAGTAAAGAACAAGTCAAAGTGACTCGGATTGAACCTATCTTTTGTAAAGCTGTTAATGTACAGCTTCCCTCAGAGTCTCACCAGAACTTTACTCAATCAAAAGAGAATACTGTAAAGAATTCAGAGGAAAATTCTAACTTACCTTCAATGGACATTATTGGCTTCTCTAAAAGGACTAGCAAAATTGTTGCACGTTCACTGACTTTTGAAGATGGATGTTCAGCTAACAGCCCTATGTCTTCACAGGTTTTTAATGAGTTGAACATTGAAACCTCCAGCATAACTTCTGTGAACAGAAAATTAAGCAACAGTTCTGATAGTGGAGATGAGAGTTTTGACTGCAGTCTGGACAGCGATGAAGAAGAAATGCTCTTGCCCCTGCAAGATATCCTGTCTTCAAGTTCAAAACCGCATGGTGGAACTCCAGAGGGAACTTGTCCTGAGGATCTTTCACAAGACACCTTGACTCCATCACCCAAGCTTCCTGTAAGTGGGCCATGAAAAGTAGAGTGTTTTCTAAGTGAAAAGTCTTGTGTATTTGGCTGTACAACTGCGTAGTCACTTTATGGGCCTGATCCTATAATGTAGTGAGCATCCTTCTGTCATGTATTGTCACACTCATCCTTACGCCATCTGAGTATTTGCAGATTATGTAACATAAATAAATTTATTTTGGCTCTTTTCCCTTCCACTTGAGGATATTAGCAGTTTCAGGAACTCTGTTTTCCACTTACCCTTCCCGTTAGAAAGGAAACTTTATATTCTATTGTTGTCCTGAGTGTGGCAAGATCCTTCGTTGGTCAACTTTGGTTCTTTTCAGAGTTCAATATTTTTTGGGCTGGCTGCCAAGTCAGCTCTTTCCCAGTCTCAAGAAGTTCATCCACTCTAATCTTAATTAGTGGTTCTGAAAGTCGGGAGGTGTTCTTTGATGTGTATCAGACCATATTACTGAAGGAGCCTAAATTTCAAGGAAATTGAGAATGTTTGGAACCTTACAAGAGAGGCCAGGACTTGTCCGGCATTCACTTCTCCTTTTTTCCCTTACTCTGTCCATTAGGGTGAACTCCACTTTATAATGTACATGGGTATTTTGGGGCTGACCTAACAATATGACTTTACCAATGATTTGTTCAGTACCACAGTCTGGCAAAAAAGGCTGCTTTTTTTTAAAAAAAAATTAAATTTGTAGTAAAATTTAAAGGAGGTGTAATAAGGTCACCAATGTAGTAAGTCAGGATTTACTGTTGTGGTGTCCTGACAGGTGGTCTGCTCCATCGATGATAACCAAAAGGCTGCATGAGTGTGTGCTTAGTCGTGTGCCATGTTAACTTGTGCAATTAGTTAACACAGCAGACTTGGAGAGACCTCCAAAGACCACAAATCAGATAAGGATTGAAGGTGCCTGTTTGATTAGATCATGTCTGTTGTTCATGCTGTTGTTTTAGATCCTTTCCTGAACCTGGACTGGTATCTGGGGAGTGTACCAAGGTCTTTTTTTAATGAGCTGGTGTTACCATCCTTTTAGAATGTGCTTTCAACTTATGACCGGTACCAATTACTGTTCTGCGCCTGGGCCTATTACCAATTAGTGTTTTACACACTCAGCCCTGTTTATGCCAAGTTGTGTGAGCAAGGGCCTGCCTCTTGCTCACAGCTTGGCATTGCTTTATATTAGCCAAGTGTTGTCCATTGTTAGCTAGGCCTCAGGCCTTAAACCAGGCCCGTACTACAGTAAAGCTCCAATTGTCCAGCATCCAGTGGTCCGGCACTCACGATAGTCTGGCATCAACTGGAACCCGGAAGTGCTCCGGCCAGCTGGACAATTGGAGCTACTGTGAGCTCCATGGGCACTCGTGGCTGGTAAAGGAAAGAGGGGAAGGGGATTATACCCGTGTGACGGGTCTGCCGGGACCTGCATTGTGTCCGGCCGAGGAGTGGGGGATGGGGCGGGGAATGGCGTGGCGAGGAGTGAACCCTCCGCTGTTTTGCAGGAAGGCTGGGGAAGCCCCGCGCCACCCCCAAGAGTTTCCAGGAGGGGAGCGGGTTCCCCACCCCCCAGACTGCAGTAGTTATCACAGAGCAGGTGGGTGAGGGGCGGCACTGCGGGACCAACCCAGCAGCACCTGAGCTGCTCTGCTCCGCCGTTTGTCCGCTGCTCGTCCATTTCAGCAGCTGCGGACTTGGGGGAGTGGTGGAGTAGAGCAGCTGGGGTGCTGCCGAGTTGGTCCTGCAGCCCCGCCCTTCACCCCCCTGCTCGGTGCCCGGGGCACCCCAGCTGCTCTGCTCCACTGCTTGTCCCCTGCTCGTCAGTTTCAGACATGTGTGTGAAATTAAATGGACGCTACAGATAAATAGTATGTTACTTAATTGCCAGGACCATATCTTTTGTGGGAGATTTTCCTGGGGTTTTTAAATTATTTTTTTAAAGGAGTGCACACAATAATTTAGAAGAAAAATCAAGGGGAAAAAGGCTCTTGAATTGTGCTGAAGCTATCTCAGGCTGAATTTCTAAATGTTAATCTAATGCAGGATCTGGTAAAAGTGCTTCTTCATTCCCTGCCAAAATGTTCCTTTTAGTTTCTGTGATTGTACCCATCTGACACTGAGTCTTGTGTTCCAGTGTTTGAGTTCTTTTTTTCCTTTTTGTTGCTAGCCTTAATTCTTTTCAGCACTTCTTTGGTAAAATGGGATATGACCTTAAGAAGTGAGCAAGTGTATTTGCTTAACTTTTACATGGTGCCTTTCACTGTAGTTTGACACCCATTTTACATATAAATTAAATGAGGCTTAGAGAGGTAATTTTCTTGCCCAGTATCACATGGGAAATGTATAGTTGAGTTACCATCTCACATCTTAGTTCTATTTGTAATACCCATGTTTCATTTGCTGGTCAGTGCAGTGTCAGACCAAAAATGTTTATGCTCTTTGCGATTGGCTTTGTAATCTGTCAAATGGGGTTCTTTGTCTTAGATTTATAAAGGTATTTAAGTATTGCCTTGCTCTTTAACCCTCTTACATTTCAGGATCTCCTTTACATTTCTGAGTGCAAGATCATATTAGGGATGTAAGTGACTAATTGACTATCCAATAAGCAAAAGCATATCAGATAGTTGACATGCTAGTTGACTGTTTGCTTCCTCTCCCCCACTTGCTGCCTCTATCAGAAGAGGCAGCAAGGCAGGGGGAAGAGGAGGTAGTGCTGTGGCGAGCCAGCTTAAAAGCCAGTTCCTCCAGCTCCATGGGAGGGGGCAAGGGCACAGTGGTGGTGTTCCAACTTGAAATGTATAAGAGTCCCTGCTGGGGCTCTTGTACATTTCAAAGGCAGAACTCTGCACGAGTCCTTATGCTGCTGGGGCTCTTGTACATTTCAAAGGCAGAACGCTGCACGAGTCCTTATCGAGTAATCGAATAGTTGATGGAAATCCCATTGACTATTCTATTAGTTAATCAGAACTTAATATCCCTAGTTCATATATGATCTCTTCTTTAACAGTGGGATTAAATTGTAAATGCTACCTTTGTCTAACAGTGAATCATCTTAAAAAGACTTCCCATTTTAAAAAAAAAATCATTCTACTTCATTACAGCTTTCTAAGCTTCCTGTTGTGAGTCAGGTGTCTTATGTGAACAGCCTAGAGCATCTCTTGAAGGAGAAGGAAGAATCCAAAAGGTTAGCAGGTTTATTATTTTAAGGTAAATCTAATAATACTTGTGAAAAATGCTGAACTTGTTTATGGAATCATAGGTTCTCAGTTCCTCTCAGAACTGCTACAGCATGAGCAGTGCCAAGTTAAGAGTTGAGGTACCATTGCCAGTGTGCCTCAATCTGTCCCTAGAGCAGTATGTGGCTGAGTTTTGCACACAGCCATGGCCCAGCTACATGCTAAAGGCTGCAGGGTCCAGGTGCCCAGTGCGGTTGGGGGCTGGTGGATGGCCTTGCAGTGTGGGCGTCAGGAGCTGAAGGCTGCCCAGCCAGCCATGAGGGGTCTGGGTTCAGGCTGCTGTGTGGTTAGGGGTGTTGCCTGGCCCCATATGGTGGGATCTTGGATTCCTGCTCCTGGCCCAATTCTGTTGAGGGGGTCTCCGGGCGGGAGGCACTGGGGATAGAGGTATGTGAGGGAGGAGTTGTGGGGATGCGCCCCACGTTAACACATTGGGAGCCTCGTATGCAGCTCCCACTAAATCGGTTGAGAACCACTGATTTACAAACACCACCTGAGTGAGTGTTAATGAGCCTATTAGTAAAGCAACACAGAATGAGTCTGTATTATACTGACACTTTATAGGTCTGTTAAACACCCCACCCGCTCCCAGGCATAGCACATTTCAACACTATAAGGTGCCAGTGGGAATGAGATTATGGCTCCCAGCTCTGTTAGCTACCCCCTTCCTGGAGGTGGTTACATAGAGCACTGAGAGAGCGGTCTGCCATTGCTTGAGCCATGGCCATGCTTTCAGTTTAAAGCACTGCCATGGCAGTGTTGTTGCAGCTGCGCTTTAAACTTTAAGTGTAGACAAAGTCAGTGTCAGTTGTGGCTTTTGCGATGTGTGCACTTCTCCTTAGTCTCAGGCCAGATCCTATTTTCTCCTTTATTGTAGGCCCCCAAATAGCTGTTAAGTATTGGGGGAGGGATAGCTCAGTGGTTTGAGCCTTGGCCAGCTAAACCCAGGGTTGTGAGTTCAATCCTTAAGGGGGCCATTTAGGGATCTGGAGCAAATCTGTCAGGGATGGTACTTGGTCCTGCTGTGAGAGCAGGGGACTGGACTCAATGACCTCTCAAGGTCCATTCCAGTTCTATTATTTTTATTTATTATAGGTATGAAATAAAATTACTTGCATACATTTTATTACTGTCGCATCTTCCAAGCTGGTTGCTGTTCTTGAGATAGACCTATGAGACACTAAAATAATGTTTTGCTGCCTATCAAGATCAGAACAACCATGGTTTGGTGGGTGCAATCAAAGAACATCCTTCCAAGATGTCCGGAAGGGAAAAGGTGTAGGCTGGAATGTGTACTGATGCCAGTTTGTAATGGTGGGAGGGGATACTATTGATAATCTAGCTAGTAACAGACTTGACATAGAAGTAAATTCAAAAGCTGATTAATATAGAGTATACTTCCCATTGCTTTTTTACCTTTAGTAATTTCTTGATATTATTTACAAGTCAGATCATACAGCTACAGTAGTCTTCATCAAACTGTTTTAACTGATAACCTTGCTGAATATACTCTTCATAGTATTTCACATTATAATGTACTTCACATGATGCTTTAATCCAAAATCTAAACTCTAATCTACAATGACAGTACGTACTTCCATTTGTAAAAATTTGTAAAAATTTACAATAATATGGTGCTCTGCTCTTGGCTCCAATGCAGGGTAGATGAACTAGAGAAGCAACTACAAGAAGATATACAGGAAATTGGACTAAATTCTTCAACCAGAGAGGAAGAGCAAGAAAACTCAGATGAAGATAGAGAACTGTCAGAAGAACACAGGTTTTTCCCTCTTTAATATCTAAATCTGTTTAGTTTCTCTAGTCTCTCGCACAGACAGGCATACTCAGTGAGATGTTTATGGATTGCTGTAATCCAGTGGTCCCCAACCTTTTCAGGTTGTCGGGCGCCAGGGGGCGTGGCCGTTTGCCCGCTGGGCGCCAGGGGGCGGGGACACGTGCGCGCCCGGGGGCGGTCCCCCCCATAGCTGCATGCCCGGGGGCGGTCCCCCCCATAGCTGCATGCCCGGGGGCGGCCCCCCCCATAGCTGCATGCCCGGGGCCGGCGCTCCCCCCGCCATGCGCCCGGTGCCAGGCCAGCCCCGAGCACCTGGCGGGTCGCCAAGCATGCCCCCCCCGCAAGCGCCCGTGCGCCATGTGCCCGGGGCCAGGCCAGCCCCGAGCACCTGGCGGGCGCATTCAAATGCCCCCGCGGGTGCCATGGCACCCGCGGGCACCGTGTTGGGTACCACGGCTGTAATCTATTCCTGTTGCTCTTTTTGTGTTTTTAAAATGAAAACTCCTTTACCTTCAGAGTCCCACATGATAACTTGGCAATAACTGTTTGAGGCTAAAGAAGCTTTTCAGTTTAAGGCTGAAATATTCATCAGCCAAGGATAAAACTGTCTCAGATAGGAAGAGTCCTCCAATTATCTAAGTTCACAGGAACAATTGTGTGTATTACAGGGCATTTATCAAGAGGTTTTCCATAGTAACTGATGCCATTCCTGATTATCATCCTGGAGAAGAAATATTTCACTTATCAAACTCTGGGAAAATCTTCAATCAGCATAACCTTGATTTGAGGAATTCTGGTTTCATCCCTCAAAATCCTATAGAAAAACTCCTCCTTAGGTAAGGATTTTTTTTCCCTTTTATTATTGCCGTTTAATGGAAGGCTGTCACAATGGCTAACTTTCGAAGAGTTAAAATACTTTTGGATGGTGTCCTTCAATAGTTTCATAAAGATCAAAATTGGATTTTTAAAAATTCAACATTTCACTAGTCAGCTTTTAATTTTCCCTTTGAATTGCTCTTAGCTTCAGTGGAGACATTAGACAGTGTCTAATTTTTAAAAATTTTTTAGTGGAGACATTAGACAGTGTCTAATTTTTTTAAAAAAAAATTTTTAAATTGGGTTCATCAGTGGCTGTTAGCCAGGATGGGCAGGGATGGTGTCGCTAGCCTCTGTTTGCCAGAAGCTGGGAAGGGCAACCAGGGATGGATCACTTGATGATTCCCTATTCTGTTCAATCCTTTGGGGGCACCTGGTATTGTCCACAGTTGAAAGACCAAGATACTGGGCTAGATGGACCTTTGGTCTGACCCAGCCTGGCCATTTACCCAGCATTGTTAGGGACCTTAACTCAAATATGTTTTTTGATTTTCTTCTTTTAAATCATTGTGCTAAGGTGCGGCTGGGAGGAGGGGTTTAGTATGCAGGCTGCCCCAGGGAGAGAGAACAGCCCCAGCCCTCTCACTACAGCAGCTTGGGACCTGCAGTGTGCACAGCCGGGGCAGGGGTACATGTCCTTCCCCAAAGGACAGACACACAAACAGGAAAAAACTCTCTGAAGTATATAGTAGATAGCTGTCCTTTTCTCGACTCCTACTCTCTGCTGACCCAGTGGCGTTATAGCTGTGCTGGTCCCCGTCTCTAGTTCCTTGCTGCCCCTCTGTGGTTATTATGTAGTTTAACTCCCTCTTACCAGATTCCTCTCTTTCCATTTTATATGAGACAGTCGAATTCCAGGCATGTCCCATTATCCTGGTACAACCAAACCCTGACCTTGCTTTGTTATAAGAGGAGGTTGTGTACCAAATTTGGTGGTCCTAGCTCTTACCATTAGGAGGAGTTCGTGAACAAATGGACTCAGATGGACAGAGATGCACATTTCTAAAATTTTATAGTAAGATGTATATAGTTGATAGAGGTAAAAAAATGATTTTGACATAGGAAAACTAGATGTTCTTACTTTTCTCATAATATAGGAACTGAAATTTATTAAGATTGTAATTCCACACATATAAAATTGATGAAAGGAAATACTATTCTTTACAATGAATAATTAACCTATGAATCTGTTGTCATAAGTTAGGAGTCCTTTGGCACCTGAATGATTAACAGATTTATTTGGGCTTTTGTGGGTAAAAACCACTTTGACAGATGCATGAAGTGGTTTTTACCCACAAAAGCTTATGCCCCAATAAATCTGTTAGTCTTTATGGTGCCACAGGACTCCTTGTTTATGCAGATACAGACTAACACGGCTACAAACGTAACAGAGAGGTAGCCGTGTTAATTTGATTGTGGTAAAACCAAAAAAAAGCAGTCATGTAGCACTTTAAAGACTAACAAGATGGTTTACTAGGTGATGAGCTTTCATGGGGCAGACCCACTTCTTCAGCTCATATTCTGAAAGTGAATTGGCATGACCATTTTATAACAAAAGGGATACACTGAAGGAGTAAACAAATTATACAGTAACAAATCAGCTACAGAAGGTGGAGGCGAGGGGTCAAGGAAGGAGGAAATAAATAAAACTTCTGAAGTCTCTCTGTAATGTGGTGTTAAAGTCTCTTTGAAGTAACAGTCTCTCTGCGATGTATTTTGGACAAACTGGTCAGTCAGGGTGTGTCATTTTATCTCGACGGCAGTAAACCTCATTCTACGAGGAATAACGCTTTTTGTTGACAGAGTTCTGTTGCCAGAAGACATTATTGCATCTATACTGTCATTTGTGTCCACACGGTCATGTCGACAAAGCGGCTTGCTTTGTCGACGGAACTGGATGTCGTCTAGATGCTCTTTGTCAACAGAACTTCGTCGACAGTATCTGTTGACAAAACTTCTGGCGACAAAAGCCTGTAGTCTAGACGTACCCTCACTTTGCCAGAGAATCAAGTCTCACAATCAGACATCTCCATACAGAAAAACCTGTCAGCCAACATTTTAATCAAGCTGGCCATTCCCTTAAAGACCTGAAAACATGCATCTTACTTCAAAGAGACTTTAACACCAGATTACCAAGAGAGACTTCAGAACTTTTATTTATACTGAAATTTGACAAGCTAGGAATGGGCCTTAACTTCCATTACAAAGACAGCCTCCCCAGCTCTTGATATTCATAGTAACTCCAGATTAGCCACTTAATTGACTCTGACAATAAGCAATTTCCTCCTTCCTTGTCCCCTCGCCCCCACTTTCTGTAGCTGATTTGTTACTGTATAATTTGTTTACTCCTTCATTGTATCCCTTTTTTTATATAATGGTCATGCCAATTCACTTTCGGAATATGATCTGAAGAAGTGGGTCTGTTCCACGAAAGCTCATCACCGAATAAACCATCTTGTTAGTCTTTAAAGTGCTACATGACTGCGTTTTTTTATTTTAACAAGGCTACCTCTCTGAAATCACTGGCAAAACTTAAGGTGACTTAATTCTGTAGTGTAGATACAGCCTAAGCTTGTATCCATCAGAAATATAGTGAAAAGAACATCTATATCTGTCAAACTCAAATTCCTATGAAATGAGATATTGGAAAAATTCCTTTTATGGTTTTGGAGATGTCAGTTTTATTACCAAATTGATTCCTGTTTTCTTACTCCTTTCATAGGTCAGAAGTTACACAGCAGCTTTCTTTAGCAACTCAGGGTTTTCTCAGTTGTGCTTATAGTTGTACACTGTGCCCCATACCAGTTTCAAAGTGGCTGTTTCAGGTAAGGTGGTTGCTATTTTCCAGCTCTCCTAGTTTAAATTATACAGTTATTTTCATGATTAGTTTACTTGGGGATCAAATATAATGCAGACTTCACACAACACCCAAGATTATGAACCTACTCAATCAGTTTCTAATTTAAACCTAAATCACCCTCTTTTCTGAATCTGATTTGTCTTCTGATCAGAAATATTTGAGCTGCACCTCTCTTCCTTCAAACACCAAGGTCATTTCATGTGGTATGTGGTTTCAGGTCTTGGCCATGCCACGTCTATCACCATCCTGTCACTACTTACAGAACGGAACTTCAGCAATCCTCCTTTAGTCTTCAGAACCCTATTGGTTTTTGTTTATTTGGAGGGCAATAGAAAGCTCCCTCTCTTCCATCTCCCCATCCATACTGTCCCTTTCAGGAGATCAAATTTCTTGTATCCAGTTTGTCAAGTAGGACCGCCTGCCAAGCTCCTCTCTTTTTTCATCTCCAGTCAAGGTACAGCAGGCCAAACCGAGCAAGTAGAAGTAGGTGCTCTTCTTCTGTCAGGAGTTATAGTAGGATTCAGGAACTCTGCCACACACGCTCCCATTCCATAGAAGCTTATGCAGGGGAAGGGGATCTGACTCTGCATCACAAATCAGGGTTTCCATTCCCTTGTGATCCTCCCACTATCCCCAGCAGGCTTCTGTAGAGACCCCACAACAGAAGTGGTTCTGTCCTGAAACAGGCTTAACGGAGGAGTATTTCTTCTCTGTCACATGGTTGCTGTTCACTTCAGACATATAGGAATAGGAGTGTGCACAGATGGATATTCTCTGGAGCTCCAGGCTCCTCCACACCCTTCATTCTCTCTTTAAATTCAGAGAAACATTAAACCTTCTGAAAGAGCGCTCTCATCTCTATAGTTAAGGCCCTAAAGCCTGTCTTTCATGATAAAATGCTCAAGGCATATTCTCCACAGTAAAGAATAGGTTAAGAAGAGTTTGAGCTGTTTTCGTATTCAGGTAAATGAGGGGAAAGGTCAAGATGGAGACTCTCGTTTCTGCTATAACTAGTCTCTGACAAACTTTTTGACACTGCAGGTTAAAACAGAAGCTTATCTGTATGTTTGTCAGACCTTGTTTAACTTAAGTTTGGTTACAAACATCACCACAATGAGTACAAAGTACCGTTCAACTGAGGAACAGATTCCATGCTTTGCAAGATTTAAGGGATGATGTATCTACCAGTATCATAGATAAAATCAAAATGGCAGGGGAACAGATTGCATCAGTCTACACAGAGAGTAGTGACGCCTGTCTGGGCTTCAAGGATAGGAAGGAGTGGATTAAGCCTGATACATAGAAAGCTATCAAAGAGAGATGGGATATAAAGAAGAGACTGGTAGACGCCTGATCAGCCAGAATTCAAGAAAGATACAAGCAGAATTACAGAGAGGCAAATTGAAAAGTAAAGAAGTTAGTGAGGGCAAACAAACAAGCTTTCATGGAAGACCTTGCAACAAAAGCTGAAGATACAGCTAATCGAGGGGAACAAGGAAACGTACAGAATAGCACCAAGCGCAGCTAATTGAGGGGAGCAAGGAAACGTACAGAATAACCAAGCTTGTTTGTGGCAAGTATCATGGCAGGACAAGTGCCCCCATTAAGGACAAACAAGGGCAGTTACTGTCAACAGAGAGAGAGTAAGAAGCACACTGGACAGAACATTTCAGAGAGGTTCTGAATAGACCACCACCTGAAGAAGAAGAGGACATTCAGGAAGCTGAGGAGGACCTTGATACTCATATTGATCCACCAGAGAAAGAAGAAAACAGTGTAGCCATCATATCCCTGAAAAATGGCAAAGCTCCAGGACTTGACAACCTGGACACGGAGTTGTTTAAAGCAGATCCAGAACTTGCAGCCACCATTCTCCAACCACTGTTTGTAGCAATTTGGGAAGGACAACAGATACCCAAGGACTGGACCAAAGTAGTCATCGTTAAGATTCCTAAGAAAGGAGCATTCAGCGACTGCAACAGTTGGTGCAGGATCATCCTTCTAGCCGTACCCAGCAAGATTCTAGCCAAGGTTATCATCCAGTGGATTTCAGATGCTGTCGACAAGTGTCTGAGGAAAGAACAAGCTGGATTTCACAAGGGAAGAGGATGTATAGACCAGATTTTCACCCTGAGAAACATCATAGAGCAGTGCACAGAGTGACAGAGACATAAACTTTGTTGACTTTGAGAAGGCTTTTGACAGCATACACAGAGAAAGCCTTTGGTGCATTCTGAGAGCCTATGGAATCCCTCTACAAGTGGTCCAGCTCATTAAGAGTTTTTACACCAACTTCACATGCAGTGTGGGATACTGTAATTTGTCTTTCAAAGTCAAGACTGGGGTCAGACAGCGATGTGTCATGTCTGCACTAGTCTTCAACATGGTGATTGACTGGGCTTTGTCTTTCAAAGTCAAGACTGGGGTCAGACAGCTCTGTGTCATGTCTGCAGTACTCTTCAACATGGTGATTGACTGGGTGATGCGGAGAACAACAGCAGATGCGGCAAGGGGTATTATATGGACACCTTTTAACATATTGGAAGATCTTGACTTTGCGGACGACCTTGCGTTGCTTTCCTATACCCATCAATACATGCAGGAAAAGACCCAATGCCTGTGCACCTTTGGACGTACCCATCAATACATGCAGGAAAAGACCCAACGCCTGTGCACCTTTGGACGCCAGGTTGGACTAAAAGCTAGCCAGAAGAAAGCTGAGAGTATGACTCTAAATATAGATTCACCAGCACCAGTCAAGATAGATAATGCAGACTTACCCAGCACAGACAGCTTTACGTACTTAGGCAGCATCATCCGCCATGATGGAGGCACTAAGAATGACATCCAGAGCAGACTAAGTAAGGCCAGAAATGTCCTCAGATTTCTGGGATGTAGGGTTCTGCCCTTCCATTCTTGCAAATGGTAACTTTTATTATTAAACCATTGACAAGATAAGAACTCTCTTTGAATGACTCAAATAGTTCAAATTCCCTGCGGTATCATGCCTCATACTATTCCTTAGGAGGCTTTGGTATTTATTTTCTTACCTGTTTCTTCTAGTAATGATTCAGATTATTTTAGTAATAAAACTTCAATGTATTTAATATGTAACTTAGTTTGTGATGCTTCTTTCAACAGATGATGTCAATTCATTCAGACTACTATGTTTCAATGCAGATTTTGGATACACTGATGGAGATAACAATTAAAAATGGTAAGCCTTTAAACAAAAGACAGTTGTCACTGGGTGAGGCTAATGGTCATTAGGTCCACATCTAGAAAAAGAGGAAAAACAAAGGGCTCTGATTCTTTCTTTATAACTGTAGATCTCCATTGTGAATATAGGTCTATTCAGTGGGTGCTATAGCGCATATTTCGGAGCTGCTAGTTTTTCAGTGAGTGCATGCAAGCTGGTGATGATCTCAGTGTACAGCTGCAGAGGCAATGCACTCAGTGCAAAGGTTACTCGGGTAAATTGCCTTCCAGCCTTGCCAAATAGCATTAGGAGGGTACCTTTCCAGTAGGTCAACTGTTGACTCTCTTTATAACAAAAACAAAAAACTTTCCCTTTCCCTGTGCCTTTTTGTGAGAGATAGGCAAACAGTCCATGCACTGAAAGCTAGAAAGGATGTTTTTCAGATGGTTATAATCTGGACCCTAAGCAGAAAGCCCTCAGAACCCAATGCTGATTGATGCATACCAGCTAATTCTTTAAATTGAAAATGCCATTACTCACCCAGTTCATATAAACCTTTTAGAAGCTGGTGTAGGCTTATTTTCTCTGAACCATCCTGTTTGTTTTGTACTTGACCTCTATTGTCTGTTCAGAGTGTAAATTTCTGGGCACAGGGAACGTGTCTGTCTTTGTCATGTACATCTCTGAGAGCATGACTGGTGTGAAATAAATAAAAAGCTCTTTGATTGTGTCTAGTTCCCACTGTTTTCAGCATTCCTCACAGCAACATCAAGTCCCAGTTTACAAAAACTTTACCCAATTCAAAGCTATAATCTGATTCTATTTGTTGTCTGGGGAAAAAAAATTGCATCCAGTTTCTATCTTCCCTTCCTAGTTTGAGCCACATCCTTTTGTGTTCAGTATGGTACAGACATTCAGCAACAGACTGTCCTTCACCCAAGCCAGTGGTGGGCAACCTGCACCCTGCAGGCCACATGCAACCCATTGGGGTTCTATGTACAATTGCCTTCCAGCCTTGCCAAATAGCATTAGGAGGGTACCTTTCCAGTAGGTCAACTGTTGACTCTCTTTTTTTTTTTTTTTTTAAACTTTCCCTTTCCCTGTGCCTTTTTGTGAGAGAGAGGCAAACAGTCCATGCACTGAAAGCTAGAAAGCAGGATGTTTTTCAGATGGTTATAATCTGGACCCTAAGCAGAAAGCCCTCAGAACCCAATGCTGATTGATGCATACCAGCTAATTCTTTAAATTGAAAATGCCATTACTCACCCAGTTCATATAAACCTTTTAGAAGCTGGTGTAGGCTTATTTTCTCTGAACCATCCTGTTTGTTTTGTACTTGACCTCTATTGTCTGTTCAGAGTGTAAATTTCTGGGCGCAGGGAACGTGTCTGTCTTAGACATGTACATCTCTGAGAGCATGGCTGGTGTGAAATAAATAAAAAGCTCTTTGGTTGTGTGTGTCTCATTGTATCAAATATTACTCAAAAGGAGTAGGGCTTGATCCTGCATGGGGCACTCTTGTTCCCACTGTTTTTAGCATTCCTCACAGCAACATCAAGTCCCAGTTTACAAAAACTTTACCCAATTCAGAGCTATAATCTGATTCTATTTGTTCTCTGGGGGGAAAAAATTGCATCCAGTTTCTATCTTCCCTTCCTAGTTTAGCTACCCATAGCCTCTAGAGCAGTAGTAAGTAACCTGTGGCTTGCAGGCCACATGCAACCCATTGGGGTTCTATGTACGGCCTGTGAGACATTTTGTTTACTGTTGCCAGACACCGCTGATTTCCATCCACGTCGTTTTTTTTCCTACCAATATTACTAAAGTGATATACATGTAAAGCAAAGGTGCCTGACGAGAGGCGTGTGCTGATTGCATAGATTGACTTTCCCTCTGCGTCCAATAAGAGCGCTGCTTTAGTTCAGTCGGCACACCCTGTGGATTCTAGGTATGCAAGCGCATTTAGCTAAACGACCCAATCCCAGGAGACCATCTTGGTTAAGACAAATTTGCGGGCTACATAGATGGAGGGCCACTTGTGCAGCCCCACTCATTAGCCTAGGTTGCCCGTTTGCGGCTCTGGAGCATTTTCTGCAATTACGACAAGGGTGTCAGATGGTGATGCATACTGTATACCAATAATCTCCTAAATGTTGTGTTGTCTTTTTTGGTAACTGCCATTATGCATGATTAAATTCTATCTGTACAGTGCTTTCTACTTTAGAAATGTTGTCCATTCTTTGAGGCAGGCATAACCCTTCCAGTATTATGGTGATTAGAGATGTTAAATTTAGTTTAATCAACTAATTGACGAGATGGAATTTCTGGCCCTGGGGGTTAACCCTGCTGCGGATCTGCCTTTTCAATGTATGAAGAGTCTGCCAGCTCTTAAAACATTTAAAAGAATGGTGTGCAGCACTGGGGACCCAGGGCGAATTGGGACAGCTGATTCCTGGTCCCCTCCCCCACAGAGACAGGAGTGTGGGAGGAGAGAGGAACTGGCTTTTAAGCCGGCTACTGCTTCCCACAAGGAGGGGGAGAAGCGTCTAGTCACTTACATCCCTAATGATGACAGGCCACTGGCAGTTTATTTGGTCCGGAAAATAATCTTCACCCTGCATAACATGCCCTGGCTTGGAGAGCCACTTCAGCTGAAACTTACCTAAAACATAAAGTGCTATAAATTGGAAAAGAAACACGACTTTTCTGTGTCAAGCACCATAGTGCTACAAAATTTATCCTGGTGGCTTTAAGGATAACAGGCCTTCACTTCGATGTACAGAAGCGCCTCATGTTAATAGTGCTTAGCACTGGTATCCTACAGTACATATTCAGTTTCTTTAAAAGCAGCAAACTCTAAAATTCACTTTTTTTAAAGATTAATTTCATGTTTTGTACTTGTAGCTTCCATTGGTGACACACAGTCTAAATTGTGGATTCCCTCCCTGTCGGATATATCAGCTGTATTTATCAATATGGGAGTTCCTTTTCAAACTTTATTTCCTCTGCAGCATTTTCAACCTATCTTTACTGAAGATGACATTTTGTGAGTATTTTTCTCTTGGTTTCTTTTCTCTAAACAGTGCATATCCTATCTAGTACTGGAATGTAGACTAGGAACTGCTTCCTTGGTTTTCCTCTGTCATGCCCGCACACTCTGGATTGTTAACAGTGTACAACAGTGTGACTGTTAACCATCTAGTGCAGGGGTGGGGAACCTCAGCCCCGGGGATCACCTGGATCCGTCCCTGAGTCTCAACCCCTCCGCCCCCTTCGCCTTCATTGGGGAGCCTGTGCTGACACTTCAGCCCCCCTGCTGCCCCACCACAGAACTAGAGCACACAAAATCTAGTAGGCTGGGCCCCCCAAGGTTCTGGTGTTCAAGAAGAACGTGGGGCGTTTCTTTCTCCTCGGTCGGGGTGCCATGTCAGTGAGGGTTTGTGGGGTTTTTTTGTTTATTTTTGCTTCTCACTTGTGTGCGGCCCCGACCTAAAAAAGTTCCTCACCCCAATCTAGTGCCTACAACACATACCATTATAAGAGTTTCTGCCAGTTAAATGTTCAGCAATGCAGAGGGTTTTAGTGGTCATTGCTTTTTCTTTAACTTTTTACTGAGTTATGCAGAAAGCACAACCTAGGAAGTTGGGCTATACTATTAAGAGTACTTTAAAGAGACCATAAGAACGGCCAGACTGGGTCAGACCAACGGTCCATCCAGCCCAGTATCATGTCTGCCGACAGTGGCCAATGCCAGATACCCCAGAGGGAGGGAACACAGCAGATAATCCTCATGTGATCCCTCCCCTACCCCCCACCTCCAGAGAAACAGAGGCTAGGGACACCATTCCTACCCATCCTGGCTAATAGCCACTGATGGACCTAACTTCCATTAATCTATCTAGCTCTTTTTTGAATCTTATTATAAAAGTTCTAGTCTTCACCACATCCTCTGGCAAGGAGTTCCAGAGATTGACTGTGCTTTGAGTGAAGAAAAACTTCCTTTTGTTTGTTTTAAACCTGTCGCCTATTAATTTCATGTGGTGACCCCTAGTTCTTATATTGTGGGAATAAGTAAATAATTTTTCCTTATTCACTTTTTCCACACCCATCATGATTGTATGGACCTCTATCATAACCCCTCCCCCCAGTCTCCTCTTTTCTAAGCTGAAAAGTCCAAGTCTTTTTAATCTCTCTTCATATGGGGCCCATTCTAAACTCCTGCTCTCTTTTTTTTGTTGCCCTTTTCTGAACCTTTTCCAATGCCAATGTATCTCTTTTGAGATGAGGCAACCACATCTGGACACAGTCTTCAAGATGTTAGGGTACTATGGTTTTATACAGAAGCAATGAGACGTTCTCTATCTTATTCTCTAACTCCTTTTTTAACGATTCCTAACATGCTGTTTGCTTTTTTGACTGCCGCTGCACATGGAGTGGCAGGTTTCAGAGAACTATCCACAATGACTCCAAGATCTCTCTATTGAGTAGTTGTAGCTAAAATAGTCCCCATCATATTGTGTATCTAGAGTTGGGATTATTTTTTCCAATGTGCATTACTTTACATTTATCAGCATTAAATTTCATTTGCCATTTTGTTGCCCAATCATTTCGTGTGGTGAGATCTTTTTGAAGCTCTTTGCAGTCTGCTTTGGTCTTAACTATCTGGAGCAGTTTGGTATCATCTGCACATTTTTCCCACCTCACTGTTTACCCCTTTCTCTACCTTTATAAATAAATTGAATAGGATTGGTCCCTTGGGGACACCACTAGTTATTTCTCTCCACTTTGAAAACTGACCATTCATTCCTACCCTTTCTTTCTGGTCTTTTAACCAGTTCTCAATCCATGAGAGGACCTTCCCTCTTATCCCATGACAACTTACTTTACTTAAGAGCCTTTGGTGAGGGACCTTGTCAAAATCTAAGTTTACTATATCTACTGGATCCCCCTTGTTCACATGTTTGTTGATCCCCCTCAAAGAATTCTGGCAGATTATTAAGGCTTTACAGAAACTATGTTGACTTCCCCCAACAAATTATGCTCATCTATGTGTCTGACAGTTTTATTCTTTACTATACTATAGAGACCCAGAGATTGTTCCTTTTTAGGCATGTAAAACCCCATTGAATTGGTTAACAGGTTGTGTGATATTTAACAGGTTAACCAATTAAAGGGAGGATGGATGGGGGGCTACCACCGTGGCTGAGTGGGAGTGCCCTCCCCCTCACTGCAGGCAGCCCTGCCGGAATAGCCCTTGTTTGCGGTGGGCCCCATGGAGCTGGAGGATCCTACCTTCTCGTGGCAAGTGAGGAGCTGCTCCAGCCCCACTGGTTAACAGGATCCAGTTAATCTCTTTCATCTCCCTGCTCCCTTATAACACTTCCTAAGAAACCATGCAGTATTTCTCTTAAATTCAGTTAAAGTGGCTTTAGAGAATCTTTTTGAAAAAATTATAGATTACTCAATATATTTTCTGTTAGATCCGAAATGCAAATAACAGTGGAAAAACGAACAAGTGGAAACATCTCTGCAGCTCCAGCTTTTTCTTGTCTGCCAGAAACCAACCTAATTAATGTGGTCAAGGTGAGATTTCTTGAGTTGCCTCCCCTCCCCACCCCGCCCCCTTTTTTTTAAGGGAGCCTTATGTCTGTGTGCTTATTGTGTAATCTCTTGTGAAGTTAATTCTCTCTGAGAGAAAGCCAGCCTCGCTTTTTGAGAGAGACTTTTACTCAGAGCTAAAATTTAAATACAAAATGTTTAGCTGGCTTCAATAATATCCCATGGAAATACTTTAATTGTTATAACCTCACTTGTAGCTACATGAGAGCATTGCTGTTTACAGGAAATATTAAAAAAAAAAAAAACTTAAAAAAACCAACAGTCTAGTAGCACCTTAAAGACTAACAAACCATGTAGATGGTATCATATTTAGTGCAACATACCTTGAAATTCTATGAAACGCAGGATGTCAGTCAAAGAACCAACATACCTTGAAATTCTATGAAACGCAGGATGTCAATTAAAGAACATATATAGTTCAGAAGAGAGTAAAATGAGATTGGCCTATAGAGTGATACCTGAAAAATCTGATTTTAATTAGATAGTCTCTAGTATTGTTTGTTTCGCTGGGAAGATCGTCAGTAACTCTCCACATTATGTAAATAGGATGTCTGTTCCATGGGGGATGGGTATTCTTGGCACAACACCTTTTCCCATCCTCTCCAGTGCATATTGTATTGGAGTCTGATGGAAAGGCACTCTGGCAGAAAGGAAAACGTTAATAGCTTAAGAAAAATTTGCTTATGTAACTCCCTTTCAGTCCCATTGTATGCTAGATGTTGCCAAGAACATTCACTAGTTACTTCAATTTTAATATGCCTGCTGACAAACGCAAGCTCCTAGAATAGATTTAAAAATACAGCAGAGCCCTGTTTATCTGGTCTCATTGGGACCTGGTGCCAGATCAGATACAAATGGGAACATGTGGTTCTACATGCCATCTAGTGGCCACAGACAAGATCGTCCTCTTCTGGACCTGGAGTCCTGGTTGTTCTGTACATGCTGAGAGCGGGTTAAGGGGAGCGATTGGATAAATGGGGCTCTCCTATAGTAATGTACCTAAAATCTCATCATTTAATTTTTGTTTTTTTTCCCAAAAGTTTCTTTGTTTTTGTACAACTATGTATCCGGATGGTTATGCGGACCAAGAAATATTGCTTCTGCTATTACTGCTATTTAAAATTAGCCTGGAAAAACTATTGAAACAAATTCCATTGATAGACTTTCAGTGCCTACTGATAAAACTACTTAAAAACATCAGAGACTGGGATGCCAAGGTAACTTCATAACTAATTATGTAATGCTAGGTATATGAGTCCAAGGAAATCCTCTCATTTAAACCTTGGCCTGTATTTAAGCACATTCACATGGTCATACTGATTTGTATTTTTGATCTGCCAAAAAATTTAACCTAAATAACGAAATCATTGTTGGAAAATTCAGTATGAGCAAGATGAATTGTTGGATCCCCTGCATGGTTCGGGTGGGGAGTAAATGTAAATCTTTTTCTATCATTTTACTTGTCTGTCTTGTTTGTGAACTGTATATTGAATGTACAAGAAACTGACCCACCAGAATTCTTGTAAATGTAGAGTATTGCTTGAGAGAATGAAGCAAAGTATTATCCCAAAGGTAGCTGGCAAGTGAGTTTTTTACATACTGCCCTTGACTTTCCTACTGCAAATTAATGAATCTGGATATCCATGGCTGACTTTTACAAATGCAATGCAGAAAATATTCTTACTTTCCCTTCTGTCTCCAGGAAGGAGATAATCATGTGACTGTTGATCCATGGATTTTCTAATAGCTTCATACATGTAATGTAATCCCTATTTGATAAAGCTTTTCTTTCCTTGGTCAGATGCCTCAGCTCTCTCTAACAATAAGTGAACTTTCCAGTCATCACCATGATCTCCTTTGGCTAGTTCAGCTGGTTCCTAGTTGGGTAAAGCGTGGAAGGTAATAACTGCTGCATTTATTTAATGTTCATAAGTTAACAGTTATTTATGTTATATAAAAATTGTGCTAAGTGCATTAGACATAACTTGAAATACAAGTTTAAGGAAAGACTCCTACACGAAGTGGAAACATTGGAAGAAATTGCTAAGGAGAAGTATAAAAGAATAACATAAGTATGTAGGTACTAAATCAGGCTACGGTACAAAATATGTTGCTCCAAGTAAGGGATATAAAAGGCAATACAAACAGATTCTTTAAATACATTAGGAGCTAGAGAGAAAAAGGAAGCGTATATGTCCTTTACTTAGTGTGCAGGCAGAGATAACTGATTACATCAAGAAGACTGAAGTGTTTAATATGTATTTTGCTTCAGCCTTCACTAAAAAGATTCTCACCATAATATTTAGGGGGAAGGAAAGCAAACTGAATATTTTGCTTCAGCCTTCACTAAAAAGGTTCTCACCATAATATTATGGGGGAAGGAAAGCAAACTGAAGTGTGAGAACAAGTTAATGAATATTTGGGTAAGTTATCTATATTCAGGTTAGCGAGGCCTGATGAAATTCATCCGCAGTTATTTTAAGGAACCAGGTGAAGCAATCTCAGCACCATTATCAATTATCTTTGAGAATTCATGGAGGACGGCTGAGGTCTCAGAAGACTGGAGAAAGGCAAATATAGTGTGTGTCTTTTTTTAAAAAGTGGAACAGAGAGTACCTGGGGAATTATAGACCTGTCAGCCTAACTTCGATATCTGGAAAGATACAGACAAATTATTAAGCAATCAACAATTACATTATTAAGCAGTTTGTAAGCGCCGAGAGGATAATAGGATTTTAAGGAATAGCCAGCATGGATTTGTCAAGACCAAATCATGCCAAACCAACCAGACTTCATCTTTGACAGGGTTATTGGCCTAGTGGGTGTGGGAGAAGCACTAGAGCTTTTGAAACAGTGCCACATGCCTTTTTTTCATAAGCAAATAGGGAAGTATGGTTTAGATGAAACTTCTATAAAGTGGGTGCACAACTGATTGAAAGAGAGTACTGAAAGTAACTACCAGTAGTTCTGTCAGATGGTGAGGAGGTTTGTAGTGGGTGGGATGTCACAGGGATCAGTTTTTGATTTGATAGTATAAAATATTTTCATTAATGACTTGGATGATGGACTGGAGAGTATATGTATAAAATTTGCAACTGATGCCCTGGTAGGTGGGGTTGCAAGCACTTTGTGGGCCGGGGGGAATATGTATAAAATTTGCAACTGATGCCCTGGTAGGTGAGGTTGCAAGCACTTTGCGGGCCAGGGGGAGGGGCAGGATTGGAATTCAAAATGACTTTGACAAAGTGGAGAATTGGTCTGAAATCAACAAGATGGAATTCAGTAAAGACAAGTTCTCACTTAGAAAAGAAAAATCACATACAGTACTACAAAATGAGGAACAGCTGGCTAGATGGTGCTGCCGAGAAGCGTGGGAGGGGTACAGTGGATCACAAATCACATGAGTTATCAGTGTGGTGCAATCCCCTAAAAGGCTAATATTCTGGGGTGTATTAACAGGAGTCTTGTGTGCAAGACATGAATAGTAATTGCATCCCACAGTACTCCTCACTGGTGAGGCCACAGCTGAAAATACTGTGTCTGGCTTGAGGTGCCACACGTTAGCAAGATATGGAGAGATTAGAGGGGCCAGAGGAGAGCAACAAAAATAAGTTGGGAAAACACGATCTCTGAGGAAAGATTTAAAATAAACTGAGCACGTTTTAATCTTGAGAAAAGACGACTGAGGGGCACCTAATACATCTTCAGTATGTTGAGGACTGATTAATTGTTCTCGCTGAATGCTGGCGGTGGAACAAGAAGTGTAATTGGCTTAATCTGCAGGAAGGGAGACCTAGGTTACATTTTAGGGAAAAACATTAACTATAACATCGTTGAGCTCTTAAATAGGCTTCCATGGGAGGTGGTGGAACCCCATCATTACAGATTTTTTAAAAATGGGTTGAACAAATTAAGAATGGCCATACTGGGTCAGACCAAAGGTCCATCCGGCCCAGTACCCTGTCTGTCGACAGTGGCCAGCACCAGATGCCCCCAAGGGAGGGAACACAACAGATAATCCTCACGTGATCCCTCCCCTTTGTGATTAGATCATACCACAAGCTCAGTTTTAGTACCTAGGCTTAAGTACTTGGTCTTAATACACACTAGATCATTTTACAAGGACTTAACTACTTGAGATTTTTCTCTCATTGGTTTTTCAGTCACCCTCATTTCTGAATTCTCTCTGGAAACAGTGTCAGTTTTCCCCTATTTTTTTAGGAAATTGTAATCCTATTAAATCTTGCTATATAAATATTGGAAACTAAACAAAAACATTGTTGTAATAATTATTTTAAGAGACATTTATACCATAATCTGATCTGTTTAACAGTGTTGCCATATTGCAAAGTGAACATCATTACAATCATGACATGTGGTTTTTAGTGATTTAATTAAATTGAGTGAGATCTATCATGTTTTAAATGTCTTAGCCAGCCAGATATCCATAAACAGAAGCTGGCATAGCATTTCTGGAGCGAGAGGGATTGTGCCCTTCAATGTGGGCTTAGAAGGGAGACTCTGAGCAGGTATCTACATGTGCATATGAGAGATTGCAGCAGGGAAACTACTTGGTTATTTTGGGACTTTTTATCCTTAGTGAAGCTGGAAGACCTGTAGTAGAGATGCAAAAGAGCACATGCTAAAATCCTTTAGGGAAAAGAGCACATTCTAAAATCCTTTAGGGAAAAGAGCACATGCTAAAATCCTTTAGGGAAACCATATTTTGCCCCACATGCAATGTAAAAAGGGTTTAAATTTGAGATGTTCCTTTTTTTTAAGAAAAATGTCTTCTCTTTCAGACAAATGAGGCAGCACCTAAGCCTAACGATAATTTCAAAGCTTCTTAACAAAAAATATATCAGTTTACCTGATACCAGTGACCTGCAGGTACTGCATACATTTTGTTACAATTCTGTTTGTCTGTCTCTCTGTATATATCTGTATCTATAAACACACATATATACATACGCACACACACATACCTGCTGGGGGCTATGTTCCCTGCTCGTGACGCTCACCAGCCCTCCCCATCTCTAGGGGTAAGTAAGCACTGCATTCCCCTTGTCTGTCCCCCACCTCCCCCCTCGGCTTCCCGGGATGGGAGGGCCGCCCCAGCCACTGAGGGCCAGGGGCTGTGCCAGCCCTGGTGTCTCCATCCCTCCTCCCTCCCCCAGCTGCCAGAGGAGGGTGGGGCTGAGCCAGAGGGTGGTGGCAGCGGTTCCTTGTTGGGCTTGAGGCCTTGACTCTCCGGGACCCAGCGAGGAACTGCTGCTGCCTCCGGCCAGGCACTCCAGCCTCATTCTCTCCTCCCCCTTTCTCCCGCAAGATTAATGCGCCAGTGCTGGCTTCCTACAAGGGAGGGGGGAGAGGAGGAAACCCTGAGGCTCCAAGCTGGATCAGGTTTGCAGGGGGAGAGGAGGAGCTACATATATGCTTCCCTGCAAGCTGGATCCAGCGCAGAGTCTCGGGGCTTTCTCCAATCCTCTCTCGGCCTGCAGGAAGCCAGCGCTGGCACTGTAATCTTGTGGGGAGGGGCATGAGCCTGGAGTGCCAGACAGGAAGTGGCCCAAGCACCTGGCCTGAACAGCCAGGGTGGCGGTTCCCCGCTGAGTCCCAGAGCATTGGGGCCCCGAGTGCAGTGAGGGAGCTGGGGGCCAACGGGGAGGCCGGGGTGCCCTTTGAAGGAGGGACGGGGGGGCAACCTGGAGCCATCGCCGCCTCCTCTGGGGACTCTGCTAAGGCTAGCGGGAGGGGCGTCGCAGAGTGACGTGATGACAGAGGCAGATGTATATATCAGACACCCCTAGAGAGAGAGATGCTGTTTGCAAGGGTATATGCTGTTTGAAAGCGAAGGGTAACACGTACATACGTGTGTGTGTGTGTGTGTGTGTGTGTGTGTGTGTGTGTCACATTTTGGTTTTAGGGATTAAATGTGTTGAATTTACATCTTTGTCTTAACTCAGACTCCTGTTTGCTATGGTTTAGAGCTCTTCGGGATGATAAATTATATTTCTAAAATCCTGGAAATCACTAATGGTGTATTTTCTTAAATGTAGCTCTTCAATTCCCTGACTTATTCCACAGTTGTTGTTGCTTTCTGCTATAATACGTGGGTTTTTTTAATATTAACGTCTTAAGATCCATTTTCATGGGGAAAAAAATGTTACCATGCCCTTTACAAGTTTCTTCTGCTTATTGCTGCTCATGGAAAAACCAGCCCTTGGTTACCAACATAGTGTTAGCTTACTGGTGGCAACATAGAAAGATTAATTTTAGTTTTTGAATAGAGTAAAATCACCTACAATATGAAATTCTCCTTAATTTAAAAGCCCTGTTTTAGATGTTGTTTTCATCTCAGTGGACAAAATAATCACCCTCTTTTGGTAGTCTGTTATCTATACTGTATTGAACTTTGCAGTGCCAGTAAACTATATTAATTCCTAGAATATTTGTTTGTTGACTTTTATGTAGATGTCTCTTCTATATCAGTATCTGGTGCAGATGAAGCCTTCTGACATATTAAAGAAAATGATAGAGGAAAGGAAGAAGCAGCAGCAGGATGAGCTCAGTGGAGAGTGCGCTCATACAGAACTAGAGCAACAGGTATATGTTTAGGGCTAGTGGTTTGCATTTCTTCTACACATTAACTTTTGTAATTTAGAACAAAAGGGTTTTATTTTCGATTGATCTCCGTCTAAACTGCCATTTTCTTTCGAAAAAACCTGTTTTGAAGTTCGATCGATCTCCGTCTAAACTGCCATTTTCTTTCGAAAAAACCCGTTTTGAAGAAAACCGTGGCTGCCATTATGCAAATGAAGCACAGGAAATTTAAATCCCAGCTTCATTTGCCGTATCGAAGTGTCTAATTTACATCCCTTTTTCGAGAAAAGGGCTGTAGTTTAGACACAGCCTTAGAGTTCAGTGCTTGAGGGGTTGTGTGTTTGGAATGCCTCGCAGACGTTTACTCTTAGTATTTTATATCCATACATTCAAGCTGAAATGTTTATTTTCTTTAAGTTACGGTTGTGCTTTTAGAGGCCACAGCTGAGACTGATTTCATACCTTGCATGGAAAATATCTAGCCCACAATAAAGCACTTTATGCCTCAAAGATCTTACAGTCGATCTAGTACAGACAATGAGAAGTCCAGGTGCACCTTGCAGACTAACAGAAGCTTTCGTGGGTCAAAACTACTTAGTCAGATGCCTGGGGACAATTTAACATTAATGCTGTATTAATTAATACGATATTAATGGAGAGTAGTCTTATCTAGAAGATGACTACAGTGCATTAATATTATTCTTTACGTGTATTGGAAGACTGGAGATTGCTGTAGGATGGCTTTGTCTGGAAGCCACATCCTTCAGGATCTTCATACAGGTTGAATCTCTCTAGTCCAGCACCCTCAGGAGCTGACTAGTGCCGAACCAGAGAATTTGCTGAATCTTGAGGTCGGTATTGTCTAGCAGCATTACCAACACTTGCACTGCTTACTGGGCTCTTAGGAGACATTTAGGGGTAAATTAGAGCTAAACAGCAGCACTGAGAGCCGAGACAGGTGGCTGTAAACAAACTTTATGGGACAGCAGGAAACGTGGTCATACCCATAAGTGGACCCTGACTAACTTAAAATCATACTGGACGACAGACATTGCAGGACCACAGAGTGCCAGACTACAAAAGTTCAATCTAGGGATGTTAAATTTCAATTAATTAACTAATCAGAAGCACCCTCATGGAGCCTGGAGTCAGCAAGGGGACTCTCCACTGGCACGGCTCCATGCGGCATTCCAACTTTGAAATGTACAGGAGCCCCAGCGGGGACTTTTGTACATTTCAAAGTTGACCGCTGCTGCACCCCCGGCCCCTCCCACAGAGCCGGAGGGAAAATGGCTTTTAAGCTAGCTCCCCCCCGCTGCTGCGCCCCAGGTCCCTCCCACAGAGCTGGAGGGAAAACGGCTTTTAAGCTAGCTCTCCACCAGTACCATCTCTTCTTCCTCCCCCGCTTGCTGCGTCTTTGTGATAAAGGCAGAAATGGGGGGTGGGAGGTGACTAGTTGACTAGTGTGTCGACTAGTCATTAGTCGCTTACATCCCTTATTCAATCTGTACATGCAGTGGGAGTAGATGAGAGGAAAAATATAGCTACTCATTTTATGCATACAGGTTTTTTTTAAGTTATGATGGAAATACAGAAGACCTTTTTCAGGTCATGTAGGAACCCATGTAAAATTGTTCCTAAATTGTATTTTCCAGTGCTTTTGTCTGGCTTCTTGAGTGCTTAAAATAAGGTATTGGAGTACTAAAATAAAATGATTCTGAAATCAATTATCGGTTGTGTTTCAGAGGAAGGGATCAGTACTCTAAAATGATTCTGAAATCAATTATCGGTTGTGTTGTTTCAGAGGAAGGGATCAGCACTCTGAATTTAACTAAGATTTAGGTTCATACTTAACACAATTAATGCTTTTAATATGACAACTTTTTTTTTTTTAGGCTTACTATCTGACCTACATTCTTCTTCACTTAGTCAGCGAAGTTAGTTGTTTTGACATTGTGAATTCTAATCAAAGGGTAAGTAACTGGCTCAAGTGATTGGATGCTTAGGATTTTGCTTTTTTTGTATATGAACACAGCTTAAATTTTGTTAATTATTAAAAGAAAACATTTCTTTCTTATGTAAGATCAGTGGAGCTGGCTGGAGAACAATTCTGTTTTGCAACAACTTTTGAGGCTTCAGAATTTGTGTGCATTCTAATGTGGAACAGAAACAGAACCTTTCAGAAACTTCCATAACATAGAATTGTTTGTCTGGTTGGATGAAAAAGGTTGCATTTTTGATTTTCAGGTGTGTAAGTGGCCTGACAGTTTACCTGGGCCTCAGAAACCTTTACACCAAACCCTTTTTGAAATCAATATATTTCAGCAAAAGTTTCAGCTGTGAAGCAGCATATTTCTGACAGATAAACATTTAGGGTGCGTCTGTGCAGCAAATTGCGTATCTTATTTCGATTGAATTTTGAAATAGGCTATTTCGATCTGTCTACATAGCACCAAATTTCAAAATAATGTGCTGTTTTGAGACATCCCTTAAGCCTCATGGAACGAGGGTTACCAGGATGCCGAAATAGCGCGCTCCCATAATTTCGAAATAATGGGTGGCTTGTGAAGACGCGGGGTAGCTATTTCAGGATATCTCCAGTATCCCAAAATAGCCTTGCAGAGTAGACGTATCCTTAGGCAAAAATGTTTTGACCCACTCTAGATATTGCAAAGTACTTAAGAGTGGAGTGAAATGTGGGAGAGCAGCAACTACTGGCTAATATAGCAGCTATAACCTGCTCAGTAGCGACAGCTCTGTTTCGGCCTAGGACGTTAGAATCTTTTTATTGAGGGAATATTGACCAGGGCACATCAGTTGTCCCGTTCAGTAATTTGGTCTTTATTCCTTCCCATTTAATTGCTTGCTGTAAGGTAGCTGAACAGCTTTCACAGCTGTGGATCTTCCACATGGCTGCGAAACAAATCCGAAGATCATGTGACTCCCTCAAGGCCAAGTGTCTCTGCTCTAATCTATTTCTCATATTTTGTGTGACTTGAGTATTTGACTCCTTTCAAAAAGTGAAGAAAGATTCCTAGTAGCTTTATTAGGAAAACGTTAAACACTTGTATTGTGTGAACCTTTTTGTTTACAAATATTTCCTGGAAATTTGCTTTTTTTTAAAAAAAGTACTCGGATACATTCCCCCAACCCTGCTGTTGGTGTTTTTCAGTTAGACATCTCATTAATCTTTTCTCTGCCATATTGACTTTTTAAAATGAAAAGCAAAACCTTTCTACTGTCTAGCCTATCGGAGAGGCAATGTATAAAGCCTACAGCACTTGCAGTTGTTTCAGCATTGGCTCTCTCCTAATTAGACACTACCCCCTATGTAGAATCGTATGGTATCTTTGTGATACTAGCATGTCCCTGAGCAGTGGTTCTTTACCGTGGCTCAACAGCAGTCCACAGAATGAAACCTTTTGGCAGTACGCACTGGGAAATCGAGGATGGAAGTCTCTGCTGAAGTGGTCCACAGTATGGAAAAACGGTCAGGGAAGTATTGCTGTGGAGAACAGGGTGTTGCCAGCCTGCTTCACTGCTGATTACCTTAAGCCAGAGGTTGAACTAGGAACTCTCTAGAAGTGAAAAGCCAGAGAGGAAAATCACTCTAAGAACATAAGAACGGCCATAGTGAGTCAGACCAAAGGTCCATCCAGCCCATTATCCTGTCTGCTGACAGTGGCCAATATCAGATGCCCCAGAGGGAGGGACCACAACAGGTAATCCTCAAGTGATCCCTCCCCTGTCACCCACCTCCAGAGAAACAGAGGCCAGGGACACCATTCCTACCCATCCTGGCTAATAGCCATTGATGGACCTCACCTCCATGAATCTGTCTAGCTCTTTTAAAGTCCTAGCCTTCACCACATCCTGTGGCAAGGAGTTCCACAGATTGACTGTGCATTGAGTGAAGAAAAACTTCCTTTTATTTGTTTAACCTGCTGCCTATTAACTTCCAAGTGGTGACCCCTAGTTCTTATATTGTGGGAATAAGTCAATAACTTTTCCTTATTCACTTTTTCCACACCAGTCATGATTTTATAGACCTCTGTCATATCCCCCCTTAATCTCCTCTCTTCTGTTTTTTCAAGACTTGTTTAAGAAGGAACCAATTCTGCAGTGAAACTTCTGTAATAGCTAACCTCCTCTACAGGTTGTACTTCCCTTAACTGGGACTCTGGTCCAGCAATATCTGTGGTCCGGCATGGACCATGGATATTCCTGGACCACAGAACCTAGGAAGAGGGAAGTCTGGTGGAGGGGGGTGCGTGTGCATTGCGTGTGCGCGTGCACGCTGGCCTCACCTGCCAGGGAACTCCAGCCCCAGTGACAGCCAGGGAGCTCTGGCCCAGGCCGCAGCACTCCGGCTCCAACAATGGAGCCAACTGGCTGCGGAGTTCTGGCCATGGTGCTCCAGCCCCTGGCAATAGCAGGGCTGAGGCAGTAGCAGGGGCAGGCTGGAGCCCTAGTGGCAGCATGGCCACGAGGGGAGGGACCATCCCTGGTCTGGCGAATCCCCTCATTCAGGCCCTGAGGGTGCCAGACCAACAAGGTTCAACCTGTAGTTTATATGTAAGCGAGAGGATGTTGCCAGAAGATTAATCATCATCTAGGAGAGTTGGCACAAGCCACTAATTCCTTCAGGAACTGCCCAGTGATTACCTGACCTGTCTGCTGAGAAATTATATGTTGACACTGAGAGTTTGTGTTTTCTGTGAAAATTTGATGAGAGTGACACCTTTGGTCTTATTACTTCTAGGACATTGGTGAGTCTCAAACTAGCAAGTCAGAATTAGTTTTCCATTGCATAATTCTGCTTTGTGAATGTAACTTTGAAACAAGTCATGACTAAATATTCTTTAAAATAGAAAAGTGGTGTTCTAATGGTGCCTAACAGCGGTGGCCTTAAGGTTCTCTTATTGGTACTCCTGTGCCATCTAACTGTGTGTATTGGAGAACATGCTTCAAATTGTCTGGTTTTAGGATTTGGATAAAGTTTAATTTTGAAGTGATGAATTTAAACAGTTTTGAATTGTGTTTATGTAGAAGTGCTTACTGAGGCTGTGCGGTGCCTTAGAAAAACATGTGAAGTGTGATATTCGGGAGGACGCAAGGCTGTTTTATAGAACTAAGGTAACTGTATGTGTGTCTTTGAAATGTTTTCCATTGCCCTCTACCCCAATTCAGGAAGCTCTGAAAGTACTGAGGATTCCCTTTACAGTTTCCTTGCTGCCTTTATAGACATAGGTCCGCATAAGTCTCATTTGCTGTCAGAAGGCTATTCAGTGTGTAGAGTTAAGCATGGGCACAACTCGCTGCAAGATCAGGGCCACATTACAACTCTCTTCTTTTTGGCCCAGGATATCTGGTTCTGCTGCTTTTACCTCCCTTGTGAAGTCAGTGATTGTGGGGAAGCACTGTGGGGTAAAAGGGACTGTCCAGATTGCACTTAGGAAGAAAGATATAGCGGACTGGGGAAATAATCTGAATCTTTTGCGTAGTGGTCCATAGCTTTTATTTGACTTAATAAGTAATTTAAATACTTAGTTAATTAAGCTACCCACAAAAAAAGATGATGCAGAATTAAGCCCAGTTCACCTATTTACTTACAAGGGACTCAAGTTTAAGTACTTTCATGTGCTTTAGTAGGAAAGATGTCAGAGCAGATGGATGGTGTGGTAGTCCTTACTTTGCTCAGTTAAGCCAAACCTTGATGTGTTATGTTTTATAGCAGCTTAGAGAATTCACTAAATTCCTACCCTTCAAAAAGCCTCTTTAGTGACATTTGATTCTATAGAGGTGTCATTTGGTGCAGTTCATACTACAGCTCCACTTGAACTATATTTCAAGTTTTATGTGCATCCTCCCTGCCATACGTACCTTGTGTGCTTCTTTCTCATACTCTTGAGGTGGGAGGGGGTTGTTCTTGTTTGACTGCTTTGTCCCACCAGTTGTACGTGTTGCTGTACAGTAGCTCCCTGATCGTACCATTGTGTTGAGTGCTTTACAAGCAGAGCAAGAATTTTAAGTAGAGCAGAAATGTAACTGCATATTGGTATCCATGAAGTATGGCCTTGTATACAAGGAACTCCTTTTAGAGACTGAGTGCTGCTGCTTAATGGGCCAGAAGAATTAATTTGCAAGAAAATCAATCCAGTTGCAAACTGCAAGACTTGCATTTTACACCCTGCTAACTTAAAAAGTGTGAGACCGGTGTCTTTAGGCAAACGCCTTCTCACTGAATTCTAGGACTGATATTACCTATGTGTTAAATTTGAGATAATCAAATTAATCTTGTTTGCACATTCTAGTATTTGCATAGGGAGTGTAAGCATTAGAATAAGAGCTCAAATGCCATCACCCCAAAGCCATGCTGTATCACAGCTTTAAAAGGAGTTTTCAGGCATTCTCACGATAAAGCTCATGTTTGGTTTTATTCTGTGAAATAATTCATTTGTTTCTGTTTGTAGGTAAAAGACTTAGTTGCTAGGATATATGGCAAATGGCAGGAAATGATTCAAAATTCTCGGCCTACTCAGGTACTGTTAAACCAGTCTTTCTTATTGCTAAGTGTTTTACTATTTCTGTGTGTTCTTTGAAAGTCTAATATAACAGTTTTTAAAAGCAATTTCTGCTTAGTAAATGAGACCATAGTAAAATACACTGTGCTGCTATAGTCCTAGGCTGAAATCCTGCCCAAGACTTGCATAGGATTTCAAACTTCTTTTTAACAGTTGGCTTGAGTGACTATGTAGCACTTTAAAGACTAACAAGATGGTTTAATAGGTGATGAGCTTTCGTGGGCCAGACCAGTTTCCTCAGATCATATTCTGGAAGAGAATTGACATGACCATATTCCAAAGGAATACAGGCAGTCCCCGGGTTACGTACAAGATAGGGACTGTAGGTTTGTTCTTAAGTTGAATTTGTATGTAAGTCAGAACTGGTACATATTGTTGGGGAAATTCTAGCCAAACATTTCTCCAGAGCTCAGTTTTATTCTCCCACACCTCACTTCCCTCAGTCCTTTATTCTCAAGATGAGATGTCTGCTGAGAAAAGCCGCTCTGCGTCTCCCTGGTCTGCTGGGGGAGGGGCGCTAGCTTCACGTCTCCCTGGTCTGCTGGAGGGAAGCAGCTAGTGCGGGGTTGCCTCACCCCGTTTGTAAGTAGGGATCCGATGTAAGTCGGATCCATGTAACCCGGGGACAGCCTGTACAATGAAAAAAGTGAACGCATTATTAAACTGACAAATCAGATTTAGTACAGAAGACAGGACTATGCAGCACTTTAAAGACTAACAAGATGGTTTATTAGGTGATGAGCTCATCACCTAATAACCATCTTGTTAGTCTTTAAAGTGCTGCATAGTCCTGTCTTTTGTTTTAGCACGACCAGACTAACAAGGCTACATCTCTATTATTTTAGTACAGAAGGTGGGGTGAGGAGGAAGGAGGGAGGGAACAGCTATTCGAGTCAATGAATGGCTAATCGGGGTGATAAGTGGGAAGCTATCCTTGTAATGGTTAAGGTAATTAGCATCTTTAAGGCCCTTTCGTAAAGCGTAAATTTAAGCATGAAAGAAAGTTCAGAAGTTTCCCTCTGTAATCTGGTGTTAAAAGTCTCTTTGAAGTAAGATGCATGGAGTAAGGTCGTTAATACTATGTCTAGGTAGGCTGATATGAAAAGCAATTGGTTTTTCCTTGTGAAGATGTCTGGGCATTAATTCTTTGGCGAAATGTCTGAGAAGAAGGACGCTGTTGGCACATGATGGCATAAATTATATTTCTGAATGAACAGGAATAGGTGTTCTTGATCATATAACTGACATAGTTAGGTCCAGTGAAGGTGTCACAAGGGTAAATATGTGGACAAAGTTCGCAATGGGGTTTGTTGCAAAGGAAAGTTCCAGGGTTGGTATTAATGTGGTATGTCCTGTGGTTGTTGGTAAGAATCTTCCTGAGGTTAGATTGTACTACTAAGTAAACTATGGTATACTGTGATTGCACTTTATAAATGGCATGCCTTCAGGATATGTAAGTGATTTTCTGGGGGATGTACAAATATCCATGTTGGATATCCAAGATTTAGGGATATTTATAGCAATCTTTTTAGGTTTTGTATCTCAGAAGGATACCATGGAGTTGAGTATCTAATTACTATTTAAATACTAACCAGGGATATAAAAAAAGAAATCTTAAAAAGAAATTTCATTTAGCTTATCCCAGTAATTTGAGACCAGCTTCTTATACTGAGTTTTAAGCCCATTATAAACACTTGCATCTATTTGAAATAATTCTTGAATAATTAAACATTGGCATCTTTAGCTATTGATAGCTCTTGCCATCTTGCTATAAAGTTGACACAGTTTGTAACCGTGGTAAAATGAATGGGATCCTTACGTGTGAGAGAATACCATAAAAGGAAAGGAACCAGAGGGTGATACACTGCTGTAAAAGCTTCCTACGACTCAGTTTGTGAAAATTGCTGCTGATGCAATTCTCAAATTGTTGATTAAATTAGGTATATGTTTGGTTGTTGCCTAGGAAACTTGCTTTTCCATAGTAGGTTTATTGTTTTTTGAAGATTATATGGATTTACCGGTGTAGTTGCTATACAGTAGCTCAAGCTAAACTACTTGTCTACTCACTTTATTACTCCCTCAAAAATAATTTTGTGTGTTTCTGATTTTTTTCCTGTTCTTTTTTTCTTCTTTTAAGGGGAAGCTGCATGACTTCTGGGAGCCAGACTTGTGAAACATAAGCCAGGTCTGAGGGAAAAAAACAAAGAAATAAATTAAACAAGAACCTCTTTTGCAACCAAGGAAGACTTCCCAAGAGAATTGAAACACTAGCCTGGCCAAAGAAAAGACAAAATCAACCACTTGAATCAAAACTTCAGCTTGGTGAAGGCAACTAGAAAAAACAATTGATTTTTTTTAAATTCCTTTGATAGATGAGAGACACAATAGCATTCCTGAAAAATTTTGTATATGTATGTGTAAGATTAAAAAGCTCCACTATGTTTCTGGATTGGCCACTAGTGTTAGATCCTGTTGATGGCTGAGAAACCATTTTCTCATTTCCCTTCCCTAGCTAATCACTACACTGTAAAATTATGTGAATACTCATAATTCTCCGGTTCCGTTGCCCAGATGCGTCCATGGGTATTGCTGTTGCACAGCTATGTAGATGAACAGTTCTGTAAACTGAGAATTGCATGTGTGTGAAGTAGGGCATGGTGGCCCCCCAGTATAACGGATGGGGGCTGCAGTGTAAATAGTTGTCCAGGCAGATTGATGGTTGAACTTTACTTTGCTACATGGCTGTGCCACACCAGTAAACAAAGGAGAATTTAAGAGGTCATTAGTGATGTATTAGGGTTCTAGTGTAAACTTAATTTTCCTCCTTTGTGCTTTAGCAAGTCTGTTTAGTTTATATATAGTGACAGTATGCAGAAAATTAAGCTGTATGTAAAGCAATATTACAAGGAGAAATCTTGCTTGCCATCACAGTATCCAAAACACAAATTTCACCTGTTTATGTGCGTAGTCTGACTTCAGCACCTTTCTGTGAGTGACCAAAATATCAACTTTAAAATATCAGTTTGAAATATTGGCTGAGATTTGGAAAAATGAGAACTTGTTTGACTTTGCCAACATCCAAGTGGCTGTGAAAGTTGTGTCAAACTTGTCCGAAATAACGTGCACTAAATTTTGCCCTGAGAGGTGTGTTCAGAATCCCCGTTGACATCATTGAGCTGTGTGTAATATTGTACGGACAAAATACCTCTTTGTTTTGTGAGCAAATGTTGGTATTACTACTTATATTGTGCTTAGCATTCCTCTTCATCTACGCAATATATGTGCTTAGTTGTATAGGTGAAGTATTAGGTAGAAACCTCAACAAAGAATCTTTTGCTAATTAACACTTGTTATGTTTCCAAGGCCCTGCAGTTCAGACTACAGGAGCATAGACTGCAGTCTGCATATGCTGTACCTGCCCCATTTGGATGCTGCCAAGGCAAATTAAAAGGTGTACCTAATTCATACGAATGTAGTCCTTTTAAAAACAGAACTATGTATTAATGCCAAGTAAATACCTTTTAGTTCATGCACGCAGGGTCTGTGTGGGTAAGTTATAGCATAGCATGCCACACCCCTTTCTTTGGTTTTCAAGTATTAATCACACTAACAGTTGATTGGCATTCTA